CCAAGATGTGATCGAATTTGCGCTCAAAGGTGTTATTCGAGCTAGCCCCTCCAGATGTAATCCAGTTTTTCACTCAGAGGTCTTGTTCTGAGTATTCACGGCAGCCGTGCGTTCTCCAAGATCTTCTCCGTGCTGCACTCAATAAGCCCATTTTGAGAAACTCACGCCTCGTCCCATCATTTCAATCCCAGCGGGCAGCCTTGTGGGGGTTTGAACAGCCGGTTCTTCTTCGACAAGCCAGGGCCAAGCCAGCTCCGATCAGCAAGAACCCTGTTATCATGGTTCCGAATAGGTAGATACAGTGGGGCAAAAAAGTATTTAGTCAGCCACTGATTGTGCAAGTTCCCCCACTTAAAATGATGACAGAGGTCAGTAATTTGCACCAGAGGTACACTTCAACTGTGAGAGACAGAATGTGAAAAAAAAATCCATGAATCCACATGGTAGGATTTGTAAAGAATTTATTCGTAAATCAGGGTGGAAAATAAGTATTTGGTCACCTCAAACAAGGAAAATCTCTGGCTCTCACAGACCTGTAACGTCTTCTGTAAGAAGCTTTTCTGTCCCCCACTCGTTACCTGTATGAATGGCACCTGTTTGAACTCATCATCTGTATAAAAGACACCTGTCCACAGCCTCAAACAGTCAGACTCCAAACTCCGCCATGGCCAAGACCAAAGAGCTTTCGAAGGACACCAGGAAAAGTATTGTAGACCTGCACCAGACTGGGAAGAGTGAATCTACAATAGGCAAGCAGCTTGGTGTGAAAAAATCAACTGTGGGAGCAATCATCAGAAAATGGAAGACATACAAGACCACTGATAATCTCCCTCGATCTGGGGCTCCACGCAAGATCTCATCCCGTGGGGTCAAAATGATCATGAGAACGGTGAGCAAAGATCCCAGAACCACACGGGGGGACCTGGTGAATGACCTGCAGAGAGCTGGGACCAAAGTAACAAAGGTCACCATCAGTAACACACTACAACGGCAGGGAATCAAATCCCGCAGTGCCAGACGTGTTCCGCTGCTGAAGCCAGTGCATGTCCAGGCCCGTCTGAAGTTTGCCAGAGAGCACATGGATGATACAGCAGAGGATTGGGAGAATGTCATGTGGTCAGATGAAACCAAAGTAGAACTTTTTGGTATAAACTCAACTCGTCGTGTTTGGAGGAAGAAGAATACTGAGTTGCATCCCAAGAACACCATACCTACTGTGAAGCATGGGGGTGGAAACATCATGCTATGGGGCTGTTTTTCTGCCAAGGGGACAGGACGACTGATCCGTGTTAAGGACAGAATGAATGGGGCCATGTATCGTGAGATTTTGAGCCAAAACCTCCTTCCATCAGTGAGAACTTTGAAGATGAAACGAGGCTGGGTCTTCCAACATGACAATGATCCAAAACACACCGCCCGGGCAACAAAGGAGTGGCTCCGTAAGAAGCATTTGAAAGTCCTGGAGTGGCCTAGCCAGTCTCCAGACCTCAACCCCATAGAAAATCTGTGGCGGGAGTTGAAAGTCCGTGTTGCTCGGCGACAGCCCCAAAACATCACTGCTCTCGAGAAGATCTGCATGGAGGAATGGGCCAAAATACCAGCTACTGTGTGTGCAAACCTGGTAAAGACCTATAGTAAACGTTTGACCTCTGTTATTGCCAACAAAGGTTATGTTACAAAGTATTGAGTTGTATTTTTGTTATTGACCAAATACTTATTTTCCACCCTGATTTACGAATAAATTCTTTACAAATCCTACCATGTGGATTCATGGATTTTTTTTCACATTCTGTCTCTCACAGTTGAAGTGTACCTCTGGTGCAAATTACTGACCTCTGTCATCATTTTAGGTGGGGGAACTTGCACAATCGGTGGCTGACTAAATACTTTTTTTGCCCCACTGTATCTCTTTCACCTTGAGTTTCAGGCTCACCCAGCCCAGACTTCTGTTGAGAAGGGGTGTCAAATGCATTCAGAGACCAGTTGATCAAATCCATAATTCCTCTTTTAGGTTTTAGAGAACAGACAGAGTGTTCCAGGGAAAAGTAAGTAAAAACAGAAGACAAGACAAGGACATGGGAAGATAAGGGCAGGAGAGGAGAAAGTGCGACCACCTTTGTGTGTGTGAAACCATTTATTTCTTCTGCTTGTGACTTTGGAAAATGGACAGATATGGACACTGGGACTGAAAGAGTCATTCACACATGGATATTGTTAATGTTTTTCATGTTTATTGAAACTTGAATAAGAGATGCAATCTGAGAGGCAAAACGAGTGCACTGTGTCTTCATTGCTCCTGAACCTTACCTGTATTTGCAGGGATTTCCTTTGTTGTTGTGGCACCATTCCTGGGGCCCGTAACAACAGCAACTTTGAGACTACATGTGTTTTCACGATATTCACACGTGCTTTATAGTTTGTATTTTTATTGTCCCATTAAAATACTTCATTCTCTATTTCACTCGCTTTCTTTTTCCAATTCAAAATACATGGATCATCTTTAATAATCCCAATACCTTAACCCGAAGGAGCCTGTCGGAGTGGGCACGCTCTGTTTTGCGTAACTATTTTTAAATCCCGGTAGCTCTGCAACCACGTAAGCTAGCGCAATAATTTTTTTTTGCATATGAAACCGGAGGAGTTGTACTTACATCTTACATCAGCTTGTCCTAAGTCAGTTTCCTTCCACATAAAGCTTTGCAAAAACTGCATAAAAAGCACTTGCAGCAACAAAAACATAATATTCCAGAAACACACTTTGCCGATCCGATCAGCTGTTTATAACACTTCCTACATTGGAATAGACGTCAGCGCGAACTTTTGCATGTCCGCCATGACCTGCCCGAAACCGGAAGGGACGTCATTTTCGCGGAAATGTAGTTCTTTTAACCATCAGGGCCTGAGGGCCTATACTGGTCTTTTTAAAAGTTATGTTTGACTTTATGACTTTTTGTATCGTTTCTAGGATGCTTAGGACTCATATTGCACTGCTGGAAATAGTTTATTTTGATGCATATTCTGCTTTTGTTGCAAATTTGCAGTATAATATTTATTTTTGTTTTTCCTGCAGTGTATAAAAATTGGTATATTTCAAAATAAATTTCCTGTGGTAGGAAACTATTTTGTGCAACTTTTTTGTATTTACAGTTTTGAGGGATAAGCCTCTTAAATTTCTCTAACTAGAAATATATGTTAAAAAAGCAAAAACGATTTTCAGTTTTTTTGTAGTTTATTGCACTTTTTTGCAATTTATGTAATTACTATGCACTTAATGAATACATATTATTAAAATCTGGGCTATAATTGTTGTATTGATGTATAGCAACTTGAAATGCTCCCAAAAATGGCACCCCGGCATGTAAAAATATAATATAAGCTCTGGCGGACTTGGTTCTATGGTAGGTCTTAAAGGGTTAAACCTTCATCTCTTTGTTAGTTTTTAAATCAATTACAGGTTCTTTTAAGTTTTGTCCAAACCACACTCCAATCTTTTTCTGGTTTAGCTTGGCACCGGAGGCTTGTTCATATTTTGTTAACAACTTAAGTATTAATAGCTCTTTTGGATCTTTAATAATTACTGAGATATCATCCGCATAAGCAAGGGCTGTCACCTTATATGCATCATTTAGGACTTATCTAGTAAAACAGCTATCATTATTGATTATTTTGAGTAACAGATTTATTGCTAAAACATATAGAACTGCACTTAGAGGACATCCTTGTTTCACTCCACATTCAACTCGAAAGGGTTCGGTCAGTCTTCCATTTACTTTAATCTGGACGAAGGAATAATAATAATAATAATAATAATAATAATAATAATAATAATAATAATAATAATAATGGATTGCATTTATATAGCGCTTTTCGAGACCTTCAAAGTGCTGTACAATTCCACTATTCATTCACTCTCACATTCAGACACTGGTGGAGGCAAGCTACAGTTGTAGCCACAGCTGCGAATTGGCAGACTGACAGAAGCGAGGCTGCCAATTCGCGCCATCGGCCCGCCTGGCCATCATAGAGATGAAGGTTTCAGGCATGTTGTAGGCTTTCATAACTTCCCACAAATAGGAGTGAGAGATGTAATCGAAGGCTTTCTTTTGATCAAGACTTAAAATAAAAAAAATGTTGTGTTTACTACTATAAATTATTTAATGCAATGTAAATAAATTATCCCACATCAAATGGCCTCTTATTGCACGTTTGCTATTTTTCTATAATTTTCTCTAATATCTCTAACTGATTCATGATTATTTTAGTGAATATCTTATAATCGGCATTCATTATTGTTAATTGTCTATAATTATTTATGTAATCTCTTTACCCTTTCTTGTATCGTAAACACATTACTCCATTGTAAAAGCATTCACCCAATGTTCCCATAAGCATGCCTTCATTAAAAACAGTGGCTAAAAATTCAGACGGAAGCCTATCTAAACAAGTGGTTTTGTTCATATTTATCTGATTGACCACATTCTACCTCATCTTTAGTAATATTTCCTAGAAGAGAATTATATTGGATGGAGTCCAGGGGCTCTATTTTACTTAACAAGGATTCTACTGCACTTGTTTTTGTAGATAACGGAGAAAATATTTGCAAACATAGCCTTCTGATAGCTCGCCTTTTATCTACTTCATTAAGAAAGGAATTTCCTCCAACATTTCTTATAGAGAAAACAAAATCATTATTACGTTTCTTTTGGTGAGCTCCAATCATATAATCTTTATTTCCATTTAAACCACATCCCATAGATTTTTGTATGTTAAATAATATTTCATCCTTTACTTACGCAGTATTAACTTTACGCTCAATCTGCTTCTCTTCATCCTCATTTCTAGATGTTTTTTTTATTCACAAGATATCATAATCTAGCTTTTTTAAGAAATCAACCTTTTTTCTGCTCTTTTCTGATTGGACACCTAACGTTAAATGTTATTATTTTAAAGGTACCCATAGACTCATTAAGAGAAAGTCCATTTCAGGACCATTACCTTACGGAGGACTTGGTCTATTGTCCTTTTGCTTGTCTCTTCCACAGCTAGAGGCAGAAACACTCCTTTTCCTGCCTCCTCCCATACTCTCGTTGAGAAGCTCATCGAGGGCCGGGTGACTTCCACTGAAGAAGGTCTTCCTTTTTCCTTCCGTTTCCTCAGGCAGCGCAGCAATTGCCAGAGAGGCCGCCTCTGTGAGAGGGAAGGATCCAAGATCTTTGTTATCTCCGTTACTATCAGATGTATTCTCGCTGTCAAGCTCCTCCTCATCGCTATCACTCTTGTTCTCACCATAAGATGTTTCTATGACCAGGTTACCATCCAGCTCTTCATCACTTTCGTCTTTTTTTCACTTGATTGTGATAGGGGAAGTGGTAACTCATCTTGAGTTTTTTGATCATCCATTTGTGGGTTGTCTGATCCAAACGAAACCAGAAGTGACTGTGAGGCCGGTATCGGTGGAGAAGGGTAATCTACTGTCTCTTGGACAGTCGCAGTGGCATCCATTGGTTGGGAAGGTTCCTCCAAAGAAGGAAAGTGTCTGAGGGTCGAGGTTGTTTGGAGGATTTCAGTATGTTAACAAAGGACTTGTGGCATTTAAAGAATGTGTGCCCTTTCACACCACAGAGGAAGCGTTCACTTTCATTATGACAGTCTTTAGCCTTATGGCCCAAATCACGACATTTTCAGCATTTAATTGTAGGGCATTCTCCCACCTGGTGATCTAGATCTTGGCAGATGAAATTATGTGCACATAAAATGAAAATAATCAAATCACATAACATTGCTTTCATGTTTGTGTTTAGTGTTGATGGTGCACCTTAGACGTTAATGCATGTTAAAATGAATGCATTACCTAGATATCTATATGTATTTCAAAGTTTGCCCATTTGTCTGTCTAATTATTTCAGAACTATAAATGACACTATTTCATCATTTATTTGGTCCGGTAAACGTCCAAGGGCTAGTCGCTCGCTTCTTTATGGGGAAAGATCAGCTGGAGGTGTCATGATCCTGGGCCATGTTGGCCCAGCATTCTTAGTTTCATGTATTTTTGAATTTTGTTCCTTATTTGACTTCCCTTTGTGACTTTTACCCCCTGTGTGCCCCTCTGTGTATCTGTGAGCCCTCGTTTCCCCTCGTGTTTTATTCCACGTTTTCCCCAGCCCGTTATGTCTGTGCTCTCCCTGTGCTCCCTCTCTCCTCCTGTCTGCGCCTCTGTGTACTTCCTGTTTTACTTTGACAGTCTCCCGTCAGTATGTGTCATGTTGTGTTGCTCCTGCCCTGTCTCGTTATGATTATCTGTGTCAGCTGTGTTCCCCGTGTGCTCCCACCTCCCTCGTTAAATCTGTGTGTATTTATGTCCGCGTCTCCCTCTGTTCAGTGTCGCATTCTCCCTCATTCATGGCCATGTGCTTCTCTGTGTGCTAGTGTATTGCTTCCCAGTGTAGTTTCTTATCAGTTTGTTTCGCCATTTCCCTCCAGCAATAAAGCTGTGTTATTGGGCATCTAACACGTATAATACATTATTGTGGTGTACGTCTCCCTATACTAATTGGTGCCAGAGTGAAGCAGCCTCCTGTTCCTCGTCATTACTTGCTTTAGCATGTGATACCTCACAATCATCCCTATTAAACCGGTCTTCCAACCCAGTTGTTACTGAAACATTAAAAATTTGACACTTTGGTTGGCTCACCCTCCCTCTTGCAACCCCGATCTGCAACAATCACTTATTTGTTCCAGCAAAGATTGATTTAAGATTCTCTGTTTTAGAACATAAAGGACTTGGTACTGATGATCTATACGTAAATGAGGTTTTTGCAAGTTTTAACGAACTAGTTACTCGCTTTAATTTCATTAAATCCGATTTTATTCAGTACTTCCAGGTGCGAAATTTTGCAAAGAAATGTTCAACCTTATTTCTAGAAATCCCAACTTCCAGTGGAATAGACTTGGTTCTCAGAGCCAAAACCTTGTTAAAGGGTAAAAACTAGCTTCTCCACCTAGTGAATCTCTTTAAAACAGTACCAAGATGAAATGGGAGTCAGAACTCCATATGAGTTTTTCTGAGTTGTTGTGGGATGGAGCGGTAGGGGCCATTAATTTGTCTTGTAGTTGTGCCAGACTTTCATTAATACAATTTAAAATTTTCCACAGATTACACTACTGTAAAGAAAAACTGTCAACATTTTACCCAGATAAATTTGATGATAAATGTAACAGATGCTCACAGATACCTTGCAATCTTACTCATATGTCCTGGGTGTGCCCTAGGTTGTCTGAATTTTGGCATCAATTCTTCAAAATAATTTCAGATATATTGGGTATAAAATTGATTCCGACTCCACATATCGCTATATTTGGAAAACCACCAAATAACCTTCATACTACAACTATTCAAAATAACCTTATTGCCTTTGCTTCTCTCATCGCTAGAAAAAGAATTTTGTTGTTGTGGAAATCATCTCAGCCACCATTAATTAAAGTGTGGTTACAGGATATCTTAGGAATCTTAAAATTGGAGAAGATAAAATTCTCCATCAGAGGCTCATCCAATAGATTTTTTTTTTTTTTTACTCACTGGAAACCATTACTTAAATACTTAGAAAAGTAGAACTCTCTCTGTAGTCCACCATATGACAGTGTACAAATTGTTCTGCTATTCCCGGCAGTGGCTGTTCTACCTTATAAGAATGCTTTATTTAAAGATATTCCAGCATTATTAATTTGTTTCAACCGCTGAGCAGGGATTCAGTAATATTAATATTGTTACTACTGTTAATATTTATCAATATTTATTAATGTTAATATTAAACTATAAGGATACGCACTACTATCTTATTGTTGATTTCTTGTTCTTGCTTTTTTTGTATATTTTGTATGGGTTAATTCATTTCCTCTGTAACATATTCATTTTTACATTATTGGGAGGGAGTGGGGGTATTCAGGTACTCATCCCATTTATGTTTTTTTTTATATGCTATAAAAAAGAAAAAGATTATTTCTATATGTACCTATGTGTATTATGACAGTTTGGTATTGAAAAATAAAAGAAAACAAAAAGTGTAACCAGTTTTCCTTCCTCTGTGTCTGGCCATGACTGATTAGTCCCAGCTGTGTTCACACCTGTTACCCATCTCCTCGTTATCCTTCATGTGTGCCCTCTGTTCTTTGTCATGTTCTCCATAGTAGCTGTGCCATAGAGTGTCTTTCATGTTCTCTCTCTCTCTT